TGTAGGAGCCTGAAATTTCACATCACTTCCACTTACTGTGGCTTTTATGTGCTTCTGCGTGGGCTCCCAGCCAACACCCGGTATGCAAAATGAGGAAACTGTCAGTTGCATGCAAATGTTGACAACGCTTCACACGGTTGGTGAATATTCAGAGTTTTAGAGTTATGTTAATGAAAGCGGGGCAGTTACTATTAGGGGATTTCCTCAACCTCCACTGCCTTCGTGGGCCACATGTCTGATGAAAGAAGTACTTAGCAGTGATACCTTATGGAATTCTCATTCCGCTAGTCCCTAAGATGTCAGTATTTTTTTGAACTTTTTACGTATTTGTTCCTAAATTTCTGATTTAATACAATGTAAAGCGGGGAAGCAGAGGAATAAAGCTGCATACTGTGCCCAAATAGTTTTATTTTTTTTAAAATAATTTTTATTTAAGCTTGAACAACAAAGAAAAAAAAAGGAAAACATACACAATACATATCTCAAAAAAAGAAAAAAAAAGATAACAAGAACACACAAAAAAGAACACAATTCAACAATGAAAAACAAAAAACATAACAATTAAAAACAATATCTCTTTTCCATTTCCGTTTTAAATCATATGTATTTGTAGACTGCACCTGGGTTTTGTTTTGTTTTTTAAACGATACAAGAGACTTTTCTTCTTCTTCTTCTCAAAACAATCTATTTTTTTTAAATAAAATATTTATTAAAATTTAAACCTTGCAAAAAAGAAAAGAAAAACAAAAGAGAAATATAAACAATAAACAGTTACAAAGCCTCAAAAACAAAATCAAATACAGCAGTACAAAACATCAACAATACAAAAAAAGAAAAGAAAAGAAAAGCATTTAAAAAAAACCCAAAAGAGAACAAACAAACATACAAAAGAACCCCATATTTTCATATCCTTATCTTTCATTAGCTTATTTCCTCGACTTCCTCATACCTCCTTTTTTGTATTCTAGTTCAATTAAATATTCTAGCAAGTCCTTTCCCTCTTTCACAAATTTAGTTCCATAATTTAACTTAACGAAATTTTAGACTTAAATTTACATCTTTACCCAATGTCAATCTATTCATACTTAATTCTTTATAATATTTCTACTAAAGTCATATAACTTCTTTCCAGCATCTTTCTAACATTCATTAATTTTAGAATATTTCTGTAAATAAGCTTTGAATTTTTTTCCAATCTTCTTCCACCGACTCTTCTCCCTGGTCTCGGATTCTGCCAGTCATTTCCGCCAATTCCATATAATCCATCAGCTTCATCTGCCATTCTTCCCTGGTAGGTAGGTCTTGTGTCTTCCAGTGCTTTGTGATGAGTATTCTTGCTGCTGTTGTAGCATACATGAAAAAAACTCTGTCCTTCTTTGGCACCATGTTCTTCTCAAAACAATCTAGTGACATCTGGTGGCCTGTTGTATAATGGACTCAAAAACGACTGCAGATAGGAGGGACAGAGAGCCATGGCTGATTTCTGCTGGCATCTAATACGGTGGCCACGGGAGAAGCAAGAACCTCTTGGAGTGTTAATGCTGCGAGGTGTTGGGAAGTCAAATGATGTACTGTAGAAGGATAATGAAGAATGGGTGTACTAATTTACTGTAAAAGCATTTAAAAACCAAATATCAAGTAGTCTCACCAAATCATGGAATTGTAGAGTTGGAAGGGACCACAACGGTCATCTAGTTCAGGCATAGGTGAACTCCAGCCCTCCAGATGTTTGGGACTACAATTCCCATCATCCCTAGCTAACAGGATCAGTGGTCAAGGATGATGGGAATTGTAGTTCTAAACATCTGGAGGGCCGGAGTTTGCCTATGCCTGATCTAGTCCAACTCCCTGCAATGCAGGAATCTCAACTGACGCATCCATGACAGATGGCCACCCAACGTCTGCTTAGAAACCTTCAAGGAAGGAGAGTCCACCACCTCCCCAAGGAGCCCGTTCCACCGTTGAACAGCTCTCATCGTCAGAAAATTCTTCCCGGCATTTCGTTGAAATCTCCTTTCTTGTAACTTGAATGCATTGGTTTGGATCCTACCCTCCGGAGCAGGAGGAAGCAAGCTTGCTCCCTCCTCCATGTGACAGCCCTTGAGATATTTGAAGATGGCTATCTTATCTCTCCTCAGTTTCCTCTTTACATTCTGAACCATTGGTGGAGTATCCAAATATCGGCTTCCCACAGCGCTCTCCCTGTGGCATTCCAGCAGACCCAAAAAACCATTCAGACTTAGCTGCACCCAGAGTGAACCCCACCCCACCCCACTGAACGACAAGGCATGGGATATCGGCTGGATCCAGCACACCTGACGCCATCAAACGGTGCCAGTCCTTAGCATGATCAGGTAGGGGCAAAACCGATAACCAGTGTTGTGTGTTTGCAGATAATAATAATAATAATAATAATTTATTATTTATACCCCACCCATCTGGCTGGGCTTCCCCAGCCACTCTGGGCGGCTTCCAACAAAATATTAAAAGCTTCCCTAAACAGGGCTGCCTTCAGATGTCTTCAAAAAGTCTGGTACAGTGGTACCTCGGGTTACATACGCTTCAGGTTACATACGCTTCAGGTTACATATGCTTCAGGTTACAGACTCTGCTAACCCAGAAATAGTGCTTCAGGTTAAGTACTTTGCTTCAGGATGAGAACAGAAATTGTGCTCCAGTGGCGCGGCAGTAGCGGGAGGGCCCATTAGCTAAAGTGGTGCTTCAGGTTAAGAACAGTTTCAGGTTAAGAATGGACCTCCGAAACGAAATAAGTACTTAACCTGAGGTACCACTGTAGTTGTTTTTCTCTTTGATATCTGGTGGGAGGGCGTTCCACAGGGTGGGTGCCACTACTGAGAAGGCCCTCTGCCTGGTTTCTGTAACTTGGCTTCTCGCAGTGAGGGAACTGCCAGAAGGCCCTCGGCGCTGGACCTCAGTGTCCGGGTAGAACGATGGAGGCGGAGACACTCCTTCAGATCTTCTCTAACTTCCAGTTTGGCATTTCCATCACTGGGGAAGCAGCAACAGCCCTACCTGTTAGCCAATCTTTTTGGCAGTTTGAGTCAGGAAGCTTGCTTCACAGACCTTCCCTCCTGCACTCTCCTCTTCCCTCCTTGCCTGCAGTTTTGGGCATTAAGCAGCTACAAGCCGAAGCTGATTCGGGGCAGTCTGCCCCACGCTGTTCCCCTGAGAGACACAAGTTAAACTATGGAACTCACTTCCTCAGGAGGCAGTGATGGCCGTCAACTTGCATGGCTTTAAAAGAGGATTAGACAAATTCCTGGAGGATGGCTGTGCTTTGCCTCCTCAGTCAGAGGCAACAGTGATTTTGAATACCAATTGCTGGAAACCACAGGAGGGGAGAGTGCTCTTGTGTTCGAATCCTGCTTGCGGGTTTCCCAGAAGAGGCATCTGGTTGGCCACTGTCAGAACAGGATGCTGGACTAGGTGGGACACTGGTCTGATCCAGCATAGCTTTTCTTATTTATTTTTGAATTCTTTTTTTGGGGAATATTTTATTAGTTGAATATAAGAACAACATATAATCAAATACAAGCAATAAAATACAGTTTTCCCCTAACCCCCTCCAAAAACACCAGCCCCAACTACGTCCAAGTAATTACATTAGTAATATAATCAAATGAAAAATTATTTCTGCAGTTGCTGGTTTAAAAAATATCATTCCACATGCTCCCATGTGTCTTAGGTGGTTTAAATGCATGTTCTTTCATTGATGCCTATGTAATAAAGGAGGACCATGTTATGTAAAAGTTATGTAGTTTCTCACGTTGTTTTCTTTCACGTACCCTTTCCCTTAACTTTTCCATCAAAATTAATTCCCAGACATAAGCATACTAAACTTCATATAGGTTCACGTTTTTGTTTTTGTGGGATGAATATATTTGATTGAAAAGCAGCTTTTTAATTATTATTTTTTAAAACAACACCTTTAATCGTCTTATGCTACTGCAAGGCTAAGCACATTGATGCAGGCTTAGGTCCTGTCGAAACGAATGGAATATAAGAGTTTATTCTGGGTTGAATTCCAGGTTAGGACAGCGGCTTTACGGAGACAGAAAACTGGCATTTGGCTTCCTAAGTTATGAGTCCATCAGTGAAGATGAAGGCTGCTTTTATTTTGTCCACTTGTCAAAGAAAAAGATGGATTTTCATAGACACATATCAATACAGGCATTTAAAAAAAAAAAAGGTTGAAATTTTGACGAAACATCAGGAAAAACTTCCTGCTGTCACAAGCTGTTGGCAGTGGGACAAACCCCCTTGGAAGAAGACCATTTGTTAGAAGTTTTAAAGCAGGGGTTTTAAAATGGACACTTCTCAGGGATGCTGAAGCAGCAAATGTCCTTCATCGGCAGGGGTGGACTAGATGACATCTGAGGGTCTTTTCAGCTTTATGGCCCCATCTGCAATATACATTTAAAGCAGGTTCATTTATTGTTTGGGGAACTTCAAATAACCATGCTCGTTTTGTCTATAAGATGCCCCATGTATAAGACGCCCCCTATTTTTGAGGACGCAGATTTAAGAAAATGGGGGAATGTATCCTTGTATAAGACGCCCCCTAATTTTTGACATTAATTTTAAGGGGAAAAACCTAGTCTTATATACAGAAAAATGCGGTAGGTGGTGTTTCAAAACCGGATCAAATTTCTCTGCCACCTCTGGTCGCACCACGGAGGTGGACTCCCAATCGGAAAAAAGAGAGTGTCTTAAATTAATCTTGCACACATTTCTCTCTCTCCTTGCCTTACAAGGTCAAGTGGTTTCCTGCTGTCGTGTGGGAGAAGAGACCTGGCTTTTTTCTCTGCAAATGTGCAACCTTCTCAAGAGGGGGAAGCTCAGAGCTTTTGTGGCTGGCTTTACAAGTGGCTTTCCTTTGCAGGAAATGACCGTGCAGAGTGAAGTTCCTCATAATGAAGGAGCTTGGAATCGGCTTCACATCCTGCCCGTCCTTTGATTAGCAGAGTTGGTCCAGGGCCATGAACGAGCTGGTGGCCCCGGGACTGCCACCTCAGTCTCCCATAGCCTTGAAGGGTTATGGAGTCATTGAATTCGGCGAAGACGACCAGGGAGCAAGGAGTCCCCCGGCCAGAAGGCCTTACATCGCCATTGCAGTGCTGTGCTACCTTAACCTGGTGAATTACATGGACTGGTTTCTTGTCCCAGGTAAGATGACTCCCCTCTTTCTGGGGTCCATTCCCTGAAAGATAGCCATGTTAATACTGCTTTTCAAGAGGTCTGCAGAGTGGCAACACGAGAACGGGGCCTTCTTTGCAGTGGCTCCCTGTCTGTGGAATGCTGTCCCCAGTGAAGTTCACCTGGCGCCTTCATTATACACCTTTAGGTGCCAGGCAAAAACATTCCTTTTTAACCCGGCCTTTGGCTGATCTTATTGACATCCAACACACTTTCAGAATGTGGCTTTTGGGGGGGGTTGTTATTGGGTTACTGCTTTTGGTTTGATTTTATATGTTGTGGTCTTGTTGTGAACCTCCCTGAGACCTCCAGATATAGGGTGGTGTATAAGTTGAAATAATAATCATCATAATTTTTTAAACAGACTCCAGACCCTCCAAGTGTCCTTATTTTCCAGGGACAGTCCTGGATTTACAGAAGCTGTCCCAGTTTCTGAATTGATCCCAGAATGTCCCACTTTTCCTTAGGATGTCCCTATTTTCATCGGAGAAATGTTGGAGGGTATGGAGTTATGCAACCGCCTGAGCCAAGGAGATTAGCAACTATACAACCTTTAGAAGAATATCTGTGTAGTTTTATTATATTTTTATGTATTTTGGAAGCCGCCCAGAGTGGCTGGGGCAGCCCAGGCTGATGGGCAGGGTATAAATAATAAAATGATGATGGTGATGAAGGTGATGATGATGGACTAGGATGTTCCTATTTTCGTCAGAGAAACGTTGGAGGGTATCAGACCCCCCCACAAGGAAATGTGACAGCGTATTGGACTATTTAGTTTAGAGAGAAGGCAAGCGAGAGGCGACATGATCGACGTTTAGATAATTACGCCTGGCATGGAGAGAGTGGAAAGAGGAAGGTTTTTCTCCCTTACACCATACACATGGGAACTTGTGGGCGTCCAGCGAAGCTGAGTGTTGAAAGTAAGCACTTCATGCGGTGAGGGCCACCAACCCGGTGGCTTTAAAAGAGGATTAATGGAGGATAAGGCGTCTATGAGCCACAATGGCTCTGCTCCCACAGCTGGAGGCAGCCATGCTTTTGAATACCCGTTGCTGGAAACCACAGGAGGGGAGAGGTGCTCTTGTGTTCGAATCTTGCTTGTGGGTTTCCCACAGGAATCTGGTTGTGCACAGTGAGAACAGGATGGTGGACTAGATGGGGGTCACTGGCCTGATCCAGCAGCGGTTCTTCTTATGTTCTTAAAATGCAACAAAATGATAAGAGCTGGAGCTCTGTGAAGGGTAAACCACAAGCCCAGAATTCTTCGAGAGGGAAATGTGCTTCCAGTGTGCATTAAAGGCATAGTCGTGCACAGCCACAGTTCCTATTCGGTATGACATGCCAGACGACACCTGTTGGCCTCCATGTTTTGTCCTGGATTTCCAGAGTCCTGCCCCCTGCCCCCATATCCAAGGGGCTTGTATTTTTAAACCCAAAGTTCACAGCCTCCGATGTCCCCAACAAAGAATCAATGCTTTTTTGGGCTTGCCAATTCTGCAAAATGTAAAGGCAGGCTCCTTTCCTTTTCCACCCTTTGGTTGTATAGCATCTTCCATCTAAATGTCAACGAAGAGCAGGGCACAGATTCTCAGAGGGTTTCCCCTGTTAGGTTATTGACAGAGTAGGGTAAGCTTCATAAGAGCTCAAGTAAAAGCAAAGTGAGATGGGTGATCCCTGCTTCTCTGCAAGCAAATAATAATAATAATAATAATAATAATAATAATAATAATATGATTTATACCCTGCCCTCCCCGGCCAGAGCTGGGCTCAGGGCAGCTAACACCAGTAAAATTACAGTAAAAACATAATGGGGGGGGGGCACCAATTTAAAATACAGGTTAAAATGCAATTAAAAACGCGGCCTCATTTTAAAAGTAGCCCATAGATCAAAACTCTAAGGGGAGGGAAACATAAGGGTCAGACTGAGTCCAAACCAAAGGCCAGGTGGAACAGCTCTGTCTTGCAGGCCCTGTGGAAATATATCAAGTCCTGCAGGGCCCTAGTCTCTTGTGACAGAGTGTTCCACCAAGTCGGGGCCAGTACTGAAAAGGCCCTGGCCCTAGCTGAGACGAGTAGTACAACGAGTAGTAAAGGCAGCTTTGCATAACCTGAGCTGCTAGATCAAAGCAGCACTCCTTTGCTAAACCTCTGCTTCCCCTTCCCACAAGCTGGGGCAAGGGGATAGAGCCTATTATGTCATAGGAGCAGACTTGGATTTTACCCAGCCATGGGAGAACTTAGGCCAATCTAACCTAACTCAAAGGATAAAATGCAGGTGGGTGACCATGCTTGCTCTCCAGAGCCTCTTGGAGACAGGGTAGGATAACAAACTTTAAGAAGTCAAAATTAATCCTATCACTGTAACATTGTGGTTGTAATGGATTTTTGCTTTGTTACAGGGGTGCTTCAACACGTACAGACCTACTTCAAACTACGAGACAGCAGCGCAGGCTTGTTACATACAGGTAAAACCATATTAATACAATGGCATTCTCTTTTGTTGCTTTCAGCATGTGTATGATCATAATCAATTATCTCTCACCCTGATCACTACTGCTTTTGCCTTGCATTTGCCTTGCATTGAAATGAATGGGGCAGAGCGGTATAATTAATTATGTAAATTACACGAGTTGCATAATTTCACCACAGCGGACGGTGAGACAAATAGCGTCGTTTTTGTCAGATGGCGAACTGCAGCAGAAAGGAAACAGCACTGTGTGAAATGAATATAGAGTGGGGTGGATGGATGTAATGATGACTTGTTACATTACTAATTCAAAATAGTGTTCTGAGAATACTGGAATTTTGTGCTATGCAAAAACCATACAAAATAAGATCTGCCTGTCGGTTAACATTTCTCAGGAAGCTGGATTTCGCACCCAACACCACATCCTGTGTTTTATTCTCTGTCCCCCTGTGAAATTGTGGCATTTTGACAGACCTGTGCAGGCAACCCTCCCAAATGACCGGTCTGTTATAACACATCCTCTCATGTTCCCTTAGCCTTCTGGTCTCTGTTTCTTAAAAATAAAATAAAAATCTGCTTCACATTCAGATCAATAGACACATTACTGTATATAGAAAGCTAGCATGCCAAGAATGAAGCCAAGACTGTCCTGACATGCTAGTTTCTTCAGTGCAGGGACTTTAATAACAATCACCATCATCATCATCCTATCAATCAATCAATCAATCAATCAATCAATCACATCAGATCTTTGAGGAGGTTAAGTTACAGTTTTGCTGCAGCTTTGTGAAAGCGAAGCCAAAAACTGCTTTCAAAATGGATTTTATGTGTGTGTGAATCTGGAACTGTGTGGAAAAAATAATAGAAATAATAATACAATGAGTCTAATCGGAAGTCAAATGTGTTTATTTTTATTTTTTTCCTCTCTTCTAATTCTTTCTTTAAATCTCCCCCCCTTTCTTCTTTTTCTTTCTACCTTCTTCTTCTTCTTCTTCTTCTTTTGTCCTTTTCTTTTTGATCTGCTAAGAAAGAGATAAAAGTTAAATATGAAAATCTGAGCAAGCTAAAGTGATGTTCTGTAATTTTTCAACTACTGTTAAAGATGGTCAGTTTGTAATGAGCTGATGTAGTAGTTGTTGTGGATTTTTTTTATTATTGTTGAATCTTAAATAAAGTATTAAAAACACACACACACAAATGGATTTTATGTGTGTGTGAATAGGTCTTGACTGTGGCAAGGGTTGTCCATATTCTATCATAGGGCTTAAAAAATGAGAGGGGGTTCCTTTGTTGTGTTTCAAACCACAGGGAGCACCTGTTTCGGGCCAGTTCAAGGTTAGTGAGACATAACTTCATCTATGCTTGTTTTTCTATATACTTGGTCATTTTATTTCTAAAAGTGTTCCACCAATTAATCTGGAGCAGAACTTGGAACCAGCCTGTAATTTCCTGGATTCTGCCCTGCCACATAGATTTCTTTTTAAAAATTGGTGTTAGACTGGCTGTTTTCCAGTTCCCTGGTGTGGAGGCCATGCTTAGGGACAAGTTATCAGTTTTTTGTTAGAAGATCAGCATATCCATGTGTGAGTTCTTCTTCAGAACTCTCAAGTTCATGCCATTCAAACCAGGCTCGTTTATAATTTGTTGTTGTTGTTGTTATACCACCCTTTATCAAGAGATCCCAGGGTGGTGTACAACATTAAGAACACATTTACAGAGCACAATCATAAAATAATTTTTAAAAAGCATAATAATAAAATAATCATAATAACAGTCCCTCCCACAGCTTTAACAAGGACATGGATTATTTAATGGCCAAAGGCCTGGGTAAAGAGGAATGTTTTTGCCTGGTGCCTAAAGACATGTAATGATGGTGCCAGGTGAGCCTCCCTGGGGAAAATACTCCACAAATGGGGAGCCACCACTGAAAAGGCCTGTTCTGGTGTTGCCACCCTCTTGACCTCTCACGGAGGAGGCACACAAAGAAGGGCCTCTGTTGATGATTAAAGGTTGAGGATTGGTTCCTGTGGGGAGACGCATCCTTGAGGTATTGATGTCTTGAGCCATGTAATAAAGCTTAGACCTTTCCTCACCTCTATTTGCCTCGTTTCTTCAGCCCCTCTGTGTGAAAAAGTCCAGTTTAGGACCAGGCATCTGCCCTACCCTGAATTCTGTGGCCATCATGTCTGACTTGGGAGTTTCAAGGAGGAATGGCCACCATGAGGAAACAGGGTACTAGGCTAGACTGGCCTTCGGTCAGATCCAGCAGTGGGCTTTTATGTTTTTAATCAAAACAAAGATTCTTAAAATATGCTTCTGTTTTTCTAAATTCATCTTGAATATAGCCAAGAGTGACACCCACACTCTGGGTAGACCCAAGTTCAAATCCCATGGAGTTTACTGGGAGACCCGAGACCAGTCAGTCTCAGCCTAGCCTACCTCACAGGGTGGTAATGAGGATAAAATATGTGTGTTTATGGCAAATCTTAGATCTTTGGTAGAAGGATGGTGAAGTGTGGGAACCTAACAGTAGACACTGGGATAGCTCAGTCAGTAGTGCATGAGACTCTTAATCTGGGGGGTCATGGGTTCGAGCCCCCCACTGGGCAAAAGATTCTTACATTGCAGCAAATTGGACCCTTGTGTCCCCTTCCAGCTCTTAAGATTCTATGAATTGAAGGAAAGTGAAATGATGTGATAAATATACTGAAATGGACCCTGGTGAACTCCCACACAGCTGTCAACATTCATCACTCCTCTTGCTTCTTTCCACAACAGTTTTTATTATTTGTTTCTTGGTGGCGGCCCCTCTTTTTGGATATCTCGGTGACAGATACAACCGCAAAATCATCCTGGGTGCTGGGGTAATCCTCTGGTCAGGCGTTACTCTTGCCAGCTCATTCATCCCAGAATGGGTAAGTGTCAATTATTTGGTTTTTTGGGGGGTGGAGGTTTGTCTGCATTAATAGATGTTCCATTTTGGGAATAGTACACCTCCTGGGGGCGTTCGAATGTTCAGCAAATCCAAAGCTGGTTCAATGAGCTGAGGCTCATCTATTACAAATGCGAAAGGGGGAGGGGGAGGAAACATATTTTTTAAATTAGCTAATGCTTCCCCCCCCCCCAAGAAAAATAGGTGCTAGAATTCACCGTGAAGTTGTTACAATAAGTCACCGGGCGACTTAGGGCAGCCCTGAACAGATGCCAGTTTGATAACAGCCCCATTTACTGATTGCGGACGTGCAAAAAACTACAGCCAGCTGTCTCCTTAGCTGGTTTGGGGGTTAACCCTAGTTCTGGTATAGGTCAAATATTGTGCCTCCTCCGCCCTCATTCTCTTAGATTCTGGCAGATGTCTAGGGCAGCTTGGAAGGGCCCTCGTGCAAATGCGCACATGTGTAACAGTAGAGGCCTGGCGGGAAAGCTTAAAGCCCCCTGCCACTATACAGTGGTACCTCTGGTTGCGAACGGAATCCGTTCCGGAGGCCCATTCGCAATATGAAAAGAACACAACCCGCAGCAGTGCGTCTGCGCACGTGCGTGACATCATTTTGCACGTCTGCGCATGCGTGAGCTGCGAAACCCGGAAGTAACCTTTTCCGGTACTTCCGGGTCGCCGCGGGACGTAACTTGAAAGAACGTAACATGAAGCGGACGTAACATGAGGTATGACTGTACTGGAGACGGATTGAAGAGAAGGGAATACAAATTGGCTGCCCTGTAGCTTGACCAATCACGGCTAGGAGTTAGTTGGAGTCATAGGTCTTTAAAAAAAGTGTAGACTTGCACAAGCTGGCCAACTTCTGTTTTGACTTGAAATGTACGTTTTGGGCTTCTCAGAAGTACATAAAGGCAAGAAGGTGATGGTGGGAGCACTGGCTCGCAATGGCAGACACCTGAGAGTTGCTGGAACTGCACTCCTGCATATTCCGGCTGAAAAAAAAGAGCACTGGTTAGGAGAACAACTCAGTTTTACCTAGGCTACCTAATTTAGAACGGAGGGAACTACTGCCCAGAGAAGCTCTGAGTGATATTCTGGGCAATAAAGGTGCAAGCTTTATGTTATAATTGTTTGCCTGGACTGGATCGTGGGCTACAGTCTATGAGACAGAAAAGAGAGTAAAGACAGGGAAATTTGTATATCTTTTTATGTCTTGTCTTCTGCTCGACATGAGCTTCTTCTGAAGGGACAGGAGGATAAATTAAAATAAACAAAGGCTATGCCGAGTGCTGGGACACGGGTGGTGCTGTGGGTTAAAATACAGAGCCTAGGACTTGCCGATCAGAAGGTCGGCAGTTTGAATCCCCGTGACGGGGTGAGCTCCCATTGCTTGGTCCCTGCTCCTGCCAACCTAGCAGTTCGAAAGCACGTCAAAGTGCAAGTAGATAAATAGGTACCGCTCCAGCGGGAAGGTAAACGGCGTTTCCGTGCGCTGCTCTGGTTTGCCAGAGGCAGCTTAGTCATGCTGGCCACATGACCCGGAAGCTGTACGCCGGCTCCCTCGGCCAATAAAGCGAGATGAGCGCCGCAACCCCAGAGTCGGTCACGACTGGACCTAATGGTCAGGGGTCCCTTTACCTTTACATTTATGCCGAGTGCTGGAAGGTGCTATTTAATGTGTGCCCTTTTCAATATCTTGCACATCTCCTCCCCTTCCTCAAGATGCCCTGGCTGTTCTTCATTTCGCGGGGACTGGTGGGTGCTGGCACCGCCAGTTACTCCACTATCGCGCCCACCATCATCGCCGACCTGTTTGAGAAAGACCGCAGGACGTGCATGCTCTCGCTCTTCTACATCTTCATACCGGTTGGAAGGTAGATCTCTGTTCTTCCAGACAAGTTGGGAAGGATCTGGGGCTAGGGGGCAGCACGGAAGTGGGGAAGGGGAGAAGCGGGGGGGGGGATGTTCTGGTTGGAGTCTCTTCATTTTCCTTTTAGCAAGGGTGGGGCTGTTGAAGAGAGCCATCTGTCTATCCACCCCCCCCCTCCATCCTTGCATTTCTGATGTTCAAACCGAAAGGGCCAATCATTTTGTACCCAAAAACACCTGGGAGGAATTACCAACAAGATTCAGGGAACTCAAGACATGCAGAACTGCAAAAACATATTTATGGGAAGAAAGGCAGTGTGAGAAACTGAGATATGAAAGCTAGGAGCTAAATGGCACCTTAAACCCAGGTTATGGGCACAACAACGGAATGTCTAGGCTTTTTTTAATAACAAGAATACAAAGCTGAAAATGAATGAACTGCAACTAAAATATTATGTTCATTTTTCACATGGTCTAGTCCTTCCCTTGCCCACCCCCCTAATATTCTTAAAAGGGTCTCTTATCCAGTCTTAAGAGAGTAACTGGAAATGGGGAGGCAGAAAAAGTTCCTCCTTTCCTTCCACTCTGCAGTTTTAATCTGAAATCTTAGGTACAGTACTGCACCCAGAGCTCAGAAACTTATTGCGCTGATCAAATTCCCTGTCGCAAAATGCGCCAAGAACAATGGGAGTTTCGAACATTGAAGAAAGGACTAGAGGTGCAGTGAGGGAAAACCTCTCAAACAGCCCCATGAGAACTGAGTGTGCTCAGTAGTCACAAAATGCTGACTGTTTTGGGGGGGGGTTGAGAGGGGACACAGAAAACCAGGTTGGGTGGAATGGGAATTCGGAACAGCAGCAGTCCCCACTGTAACACTTTGTTGCAGGTCCCACTTACTACATTGATATCCCTCTTTCCTTTCCTCACGGAACTCCATGCGTCATACATGCAGGTTACTTAAGTGACCTTTCATTCATGCACTGGCCAAACCTGGACCAGCTTAACTTCAGCAAGACAGCTGCATCCAAGGCCACGTTCTAGACTCTTGATTGGTTCTGATTGTTGTTTGAAGAGGATCAGTCATTGGCCGCAATTGGAAGCCATGTTTTATTTAACTGCAGAGACTCTAAACTTTTTAAACTGGAGAGGCTAAGAAGTGACCACCAAAGCTCCAACATGAAAATAGGGACATCCTATTCCATCATCGGGACGCGGGTGGCACTGTGGGTTAAACCACAGAGCCTAGGACTTGCCGATCAGAAGGTCGACGGTTCAAATCCCCGCAACGGGGTGAGCTCCCGTTGCTTTGGTCCCTGCTCCTGCCAACCTAGCAATTCAAAAGCACGTCAAAGTGCAAGTAGATCAATAGGTACCGCTCTGGCGGGAAGGTAAACGGCATTTCCGTGCGCTGCTCTGGTTCGCCAGAAGCGGCTTAGTCATGCTGGCTACATGATTCGGAAGCTGTACGCCGGCTCCCTCGGCCAATAAAGCGAGATGAGCACAACAACCCCAGAGTCGGCCATGACTGGACCTAATGGTCAGGGGTCCCTTTACCTTTTATTCCATCGTCATCATCATCATCATCATCATCCTAAACATCACCATCATTTTATTATTTATACCCCGCCTCTCTGACTGAATTGCCTCAGCCACTTGCCACTCTGGGCAGCTTCCATTATATTCTAAAACACAAAGAAACATTAAACATTAAAAAACTTCCCTATACAGGGCTGCCTTCAGATGTCTTCTGAAGGTTGTATAGTTCCTTATCTCCTTGGCTCAAGGGTTGCGTAACTCCAAACCCCCCAATGTTTCTCTGCTGAAAATAGGGACGTCCTAAGGAAAAGCGTCACATTCCAGGGTCAAATCAGAAACCGGGGTGGCTTCTGTAAATCCAGGACTGTCCCTGGAAAATAGGGACAATTGGAAGGTCTGGACCACTGACATGGGAGGTGTGCACCCTAATTCTGAGATGCAGCCCTTCCCATGAAGAGCTTCTGCCTAGGCTGGTGACCTGGCAACCAAACTGGTGCTCAGTCTGCCCCCTAGACATGCTCGGTGGTTTGAAGCAGTCAGATAAAAACGGTGCATTTCCTTTCTCTTGCAGTGGGCTCGGTTACATCATGTCATCTGGAATGGCGTTGGCTACTGGCCACTGGAACTGGGGGTTCAGGGTGAGTCTTTTCTGGATGGACCCCCCTTTTGGGGGGCAAAATGGTGAGGTTCTTCCACTCTGCACTTTATCAAGGGAGTTTCATTCAGCTGAACAAATCCGACTGCTGGCCTCAGCCCACTGTCAGCCTGTTTTGTGAAGAGACAGAAACTGTTTGAAACTGAAGAGAGTGGCTTGAGATCTGCAATACTAAAACCAAAGGCCTGCTTTGAAAAATGATTGGCAGGAGCTTATAGGAACTCCATCTTTTCTGCCATTATTATTATTATTAGAATTTATACACTGCCCTATACCCAGAGGTCTCAGGGCGGTTCGCAGAATAAAATCGAAATATAAAACCACAAAATGCATAATCGAAATGAAAACAACAACCCAATAACCCTTCCCCCAATAACTCCTCCTTATTGATCATCAGAATGTTGCCCCTTTAATCATGGTCTTTGTTGAAAGTCCATTTCCTGCAACACAAGCAACTGTTCCTTTCTCTGTAGGTCACCCCTTGTATGGGAGCTGTAGGCTTGGCTTTCCTCATTTTCTTGGTTCCTGAATCATCCCGGCGTGGAGCTGCAGAGCCTGCAGCTGACAAGGTCAGAGGGGATTCAACTTGGCTCAAGGACATTTCATCGCTTTGCAAAAAGTAAGTATCATTATTATTATTTGAATTTTCAGTGCCTGTATGGAATGCCAGCCCTTTGCTTGGAAGTGCAGCTTTTAGCCTTAGGTAGTATAATACGCATATATAAATTCTATCTGCCATCTAATGACAACACTGCATCCCTGATGAAGACCAGGCTCAAGTCCCCGAAACCTTATATACTTTGACAAATCCATGCATCTTGAAGGTGCTGCAAGTTGAGCTGGATCCAGTAGAGGGCGATGTTGACTTGGAGAAATCTTCTATAGGCATCCTTTGAACATTTTATGCTCAGGGCCAAGTCAGGTAGCGAACATTGTCTGCTCTAGAAGGTAAAAGACCCCTGGATGGTTAATTACGATACTGTGTGCCCTACTTGGCTATCATATAAAATGCTTGTTTATGGTGTAAAGGTAAAGGGACCCCTGACCATTAGGTCCAGTCGTGGCCGACTCTAGGGTTGCGGCACTCATCTTGTTTTATTGGCCAAGGGAGCCGGCGTACAGCTTCCGGGTCATGTGGCCAGCATGACTAAGCCGCTTCTGGCGAATCAGACCAGCGCACGGAAACGCCGTTTACCTTCCTGCCGGAGCGGTACCTATTTATCTACTTGCACTTTGACGTGCTTTTGAACTGCTAGGTTGGCAGGAGCAGGGCCAGAGCAACAGGAGCTCACCCCGTCGCGGGGTTTCGAACTGCTGACCTTCTGATCAGCAAGTCCTAGGCTCTGTGGTTTAACCCACAGCGCCACCCACGTCCCTTTGTTTATGGTGTAGGCCCTGAAATTTCAGGCTTGTGCTACACTTGCCACCCTCCCTGCTAACATTTTGTCATTTCTGTGGGTTGCAGCTGGCTTTCAGCAATGTCGAAAGGCACTCTAAAAATTACCTGATTACCCAGAATGCTCTGGTGAACATGCTGGCTAGCCCCCAGAGCTATCAAACATCACCTTGTCTTCCTTCTCCTTAATTAAAAGATGCATAGTGTATACTGTCAGGCATCCGGGTACTTTACAGCGGGAGGAGGGGGGGTGTTTTTCAGCCCAGGGGCCGCATCACTTCGTAAGCAGCCTTCTGGGGGCCGCATGCCCATGGTGGGCAGAGCCAAAGGCAAGAGTGGGTGGAGCCAGAGGCCAAAATTCAACACAGAGCAACACAGTGGTGGCTGGTAGGACAGAAGGCAGGAAGCCCAACAGTAGGTGGCGCCAGAGCCCATGAGAGGCAAAGCCAGCTAGCTCTAGTTTTACCCTAGCCTCCTCCCTGCTGAGTTCTAGAAGGGGCAACACTGAGGTGGAGGAGGAGGAAGGTGGTAGCCTGGGCCCACCTGCTGGGCAGGTTATAAGGAAGAAGGCAGGCAGGTGGGGGCTGACTGAGGGCAGATGGAGGTTGATGGGGCAGCCTCCACTGGAACAACAGGCATGACCCTTGCCCTTTTACAGTCAGCTGTATTCCAACCATGTAAAGGCCAGGGGTATCGACACATAGAGCACAGAATTGTAGAGTTGGAAGTGACCACATGGTTCATCTCATCCAGTCCCGTGCAACGCAGGAATATTTTGCCCAATGTTGGGGTGGAACCCACGACCCTGAGATCAAGGGTCTCATGCTCTGCCAAGTGACCTATCTGTGCATCTCTCCATTCACCCAGACGAGCAAAGGCTGTTATCACAGTTTAGTCAGCCAGAAGCACTCCAGGAAACTGTGGAACGCAGCAAGCTAAGGCTGTGGCCTGGGGAGGGGAGGTATGACCTGATGAAATCCTGAGGGCCTGACAGAAAGGCCTCGAGGGCCGCATTTGCCCCTCCCAGGCCTGAGGTTTTCCCTCCCCCTGATATGGAGAGCAATAACAAGCAAAACCCAAGACACCAAGGAAACTACAGTGGTACCTCAGGTTACATACGCTTCAGGTTACATACGCTTCAGGTTACAGACTCCGCTTACCCAGAAATAGTACCTCAGGTTAAGAACTTTGCTTCAGGATGAGAACAGAAACTGTGCTCCGGTGGTGCGGCAGCAGCGGGAGGCCCCATTAGTTAAAGTGGTGCTTCAGGTTAAGAACAGTTTCAGGTTAAGAACGGACCTCCGGAACGAATTAAGTACTTAACCCGAGGTACCACTGTATTTAAATATGTTTCTTATTCCACCCCACCCCGTCAGCTGGAGTTTCTTGTGGTCCTCGCTCGGGGTGACAGCCATGTCCTTCATCGTCGGAGCTCTGGGGTTCTGGATGCCAGTGTTCCTTTCCAGAGCTCAGCTCATCCATGACGCTGTCCCTCCCTGCCAGCAGGCAGGGTCATGTGACACCTCCAACAGGTGAGACAAGCTTCCTTTGGGAGAAGCAAACAGAGGGCATGGGGAACGCTCCATAGGAGAGATTATCTGAATATTTTTTATTTACTGTATTTTTAAAGAAATGTGACAACAGGAGGCTGTGGCAGAGATGGATCATTGCAGAAAGATCACACCTGTTTGATTTGTGAACCACCCTGAGATCTATGGGTATAGGGGAGTAGGCAAATTTAATAATAAAAACAAGTAATTTCTGCCTGCTACAGCATGGTCAAAGCACAAAGATACAGTCATGTAATAATAATGATAATAAAAGCCAATCGACAGAGCCAATGTTTATAAGGTTATATAACCTGCTGTGGTCTTAAAAACACACACACATATTTTTTCCTGTCCTCCAGCCAGATATTTGGAGGAATAACTATTGCAACTGGCATCTTTGGAGTCATTGTTGGAGCAGAAGCCGCCAGAAGATTCAAGAAGACCAACGCAATGGCTGACCCTCTGATCTGTGCTGTGGGCTTGCTGACGTCATCTCCATCCATGTATCTGGCGATCATGCTGGCTCAGGAAAGCATTATAGCTACATATGTAAGTGGCAAGTACAGTGGTACCTCAGGTTAAGTACTTAATTCGTTCCGGAGGTCCATACTTAACCTGAAACTGTTCTTAACCTGAAGCACCACTTTAGCTAATGAGGCCTCCTGCTGCTGCCGCGCTGCCAGAGCACGATTTCTGTTCTCATCCTGAAGCAAAGTTCTTAACCCGAGGTACTATTTCTGGGTTGGCGGAGTCTGTAACCTGAAGTTTATGTAACCTGAAGCGTATGTAACCCGAGGCACCACTGTATGTGGCAAGAGGGGTTTTGCCTTAGCGGCTGGCTTCTCTTCAAAGACAACCTTGCCTATGCGGGAATTGGGCATTCATAGCAGAGATACTGGCTTGGAAAGGTTTCTATTGCAAGACTGAAATATTGCAGAAACCGAGACGAACCTTTCTGAATTTCATATATGTGGGCAGGCAATATCACCAGGGAAGCCTGGACTGGGTGCCAGAGGCCTCTAGCATACTCATCAATATATCCTATCTAGTATTTAATTTTTGGTCATTGCACTGGGTAAATCTGCACCCTGAAAGTTAACTGCTTTTTGTTTTAAGCAGTCAAATTGTACCAGCAAAGCAGCTTGGAAACCTGAGAGGGAGGCTTCCCATGGTTGGCTGTAGCAGCTGTTGGAGCCTGTAGTAGCTGCTACTGTCACTTGGGCACTTCCTTGTTCACAAGCTCCTGCAAGCCGGTTTATGAGCAAATCTATATCCTCTGCCAGCTCTTGCTGGCAAAATGAAGGATCTTCCCGTGTTCCTAATTTCTCTCAGCTGAAACCCAACATTGGTAACACTGCCCTCAGCTCATTGGTGGGAAGGTGGGATCGTGTAAGGGTTGCTGGTACCCAAAACATGAACCATTAAAAGGATGGAGAGTAGTATTTGGCCTCTGTTTGATCTTTCTGTGTGTGCATTTGCAAATCTCCAGTGCCCTGTCTACTCATGACGTTCTTTCTACCTCTCTGTGTGCTTTTTCCCTATTTCAGATTTTTATTGCCCTTGGAGAATTTCTTTTATCCTTAAACTGGGCCATTGTGACTGACATACTGCTGGTGAGTTCAGCTGCCTTTTTCTGTCATATTGATTTTGCTAATAACCTGATACACCTATTCTTAGATCTCTGCTCTCTCTTTCTCTCTCTGTTTTCTACCTTCACATCCCTTCAGGTCCATAGCCAGAAACATAGCGGAGACAAGAGTCACATGGGGCAGGGGTGGGGGGGAAGCAGGGCATTTTAAGTCAATGTGAAATGACTTAACATGCAATCCCATGAATATTATCCTGCTGACAAGTCCTTCTGACTTGCACAGTGTGATTTACTGCTGGCTCGCTCCTGGCAGTCAAGCACATCTAGCTGGTCTCTCCTACTTCCTACTTACCTTGACCATTGGGTCTTTTCCCTTTGACTTTTCAGTATGTCGTGAAACCAACATGCCAATCCACCGCACTATCTGTACAGATTTTTGTTAGTCATTTGTTTGGTGATGCCGGAAGCCCCTATCTCATTGGAATCGTAAGTTATATGGGCAGCTTTAGAGGTGGGGGTGGGCTGGAGTCCCCCACCCCACCCCTTGGTGGGAAACTGTGCAAAGTAATCTCATTTTACAAGTGAATAGAAACTCTTTGCACTGTGAGTGAATAGCTTGGGGCTTCATTTCATGGCAGGTTGAAGCAGGTTCTTGGTCGTGGTGATGTTCAAATGGACCAGAGGCAGAAGGCATAATCCGAGACAGGCAGGAAATCAGGCAACAGATAAGGGAACCAACCTAGGACCAGAGGCAGATAGGCAGTCGAAAGATGGTCAGCTGGTCAGGTAGAGAGCTAAGTGGATGAAGACCAAAGGATCAGATGTAGGAAAGCCATCAGAGGTCCAAGACCATCTGCACCACTGCTAATATATTAGCCAATTTACTCAGACTACTAAGAAACAACGTGAGACCAGGGAGAAGAGTCGGTGGAAGAAGACTGGAAAAAATTTAAAGACTATTTACAGAAATACTGTAAAATTAATGAATGTTAGAAAAACGTTGGAATGAACCTATATGGCTTTAGTAGAAATGTTATAAGGAATTAAGTATAAATAGATTAATAGAGTATTAAAGGAAAAAATAAGGTTAGAATGAGTTAAGATAATTATAGGATAGAAAACAGAGGAAGATTGAAAGGAATTGCTGAAATAATTAACAGAAGTAGAATACGAAAAGGGAGGTGTGAGGAGGTCGTGGAAATAAGTGAATGAAAGATGGGATAATGAAATTGTTGGATTTATTTTATTGTTTTTGTTTTGTTTTGTTAGTTTAATGTATTGTATTTTTTTTAAGTGTTTAAATTTTTGGAAAAGTAATAAATATTTTTTAAAAAGAAAAAAGAAAAAAAAGAGAAACAACGTGAGTTTTATACAGCCAGACAGGCTCCTGTTGGTCCCTTGAGAACCAAATGGTCTTGAATAGGGTTACGGGGAGAAATTCAATACCGTTTGCATTTAAAGGAAACCTCCCTAATTTGCACTTTTGAAAACACAATTCTTCTATGCTTCAAAATTAGAAATTCTCCTTTAAACAAATTAGAAATTCTCCTTTAAACAAGAAATTCTCCTTTAAACACAAAAATACTTAGGCTAGACTTAATTTTGCAGATCAGTTCTCTGGCCAATTAATGGGCATATAATGAGGTTGAGTGTGCATCAAAATGCACATATTTTTGAAGATAGACAAATATGAATTACATTAGAGAAAATACTCTGCAAGAATGTGCATCTTAGGCAAAATTGCACAGAAGCATATGTATATTAGCAAAAATCTGCACTGAAATGTTAATGAATTTTCATGAGGACTTTCTTAAAAAAAGAAATAAATTTGCAAAGTGGAAATGTGGAGAACTGACCTTAGGACAATTGACATATTTACCCATTTCCTTGTCTTGGAAGAACTAAAGTCCCAGCTTTGGCCACTAGAGGGCTGGCACCAGTCAGGCCATCAAACGCATCAGTTTATGCATCCAGAGTTTTTGCTTCATCTGTGTTAGAGCCCAGGAAGCTTCAGGGCAGGCTGAGGTCAAGTCCAAAGGCAACCAGAGAAAACAACACGGTCAGACTGAACGGGGTTCAAATCCCCTACTTGGCCCTGAAGCTCACTGGGTGAGCTGGCAGGGGGGCAGTCACTGCCTCTTGACCTAGGGTTGCTGTGGGGATTAAATGGGGAGGGGGAGAAGCATGGGTGCCACCTTGAGCTCCTTAGAGGAAGAGGGTGGGGCATAAATGCAAGAAGCAGAGTAAAAAACCACGTTCCCCCTCCAGATCTCCAGTGAAATCCAGAAGCGACAGGCCGGGGCTTCTTCCTACCTTGCGTCCTTCCGGAGCCTGCAGTACAGCTTTGTCTTATGCTGCTTTGTCGGTGCTCTTGGGGGAGGCTGCTTCCTCCTGACCGCCCTCCGGATCAAAGAAGATCGGCTGGAAGCTGCGCCTTCACCCCCACCGCCAGTCAAAGGTAACTCTGACTCTTGGGCTCAGCGCATCTGTACTGCGAGCATCGCTCTGGCTTTGGGCATCATTTTTTGCCAGTCCGACCTTTCCAGCTGAACCGTAGAGTCATAGAATTGTAGAGTTGGAAGGGACATCAAATGCCATCCAGTCCAACCCCCTGCAATGTGGGAATCTCAGCTAAGGCATCCATGATAGATGGCCACCCAACCTCTGCTTAAACATCTGCAAGGAAGGAGAGTCTACAACCTCCCGGGACAGGGGCGGAGGAAGGGGGTGCAGTGGGTGTGGACCGCCCCAGGTGTCACAACTGAGAAGGGTGACAAAATGCACTGCGCCTGAGCCATGCGTCTCTCCTGGGCACACACAGGCCCCACACTGCCCGAAATGGTCTGCCCGCTGCCTCCCCCCCCCCCAGGTGTAGGGCGGCTGAGTGGGAGGAGGCAGGCAGACTCCAGAGGCCCCACGGTGCACCCTGCCCATATGGGCGACTCACCCTGCCCTCGCCCTGCCTCTATGTGTGGTGTAGTGGTTAAGAGCGGTATACCCGTAATCTGGTGAACTGGGTTCACGTCTCCGCTCCTCCACCTGCAGCTGCTGGGTGACCTTGGGCTAGTCACACTTCTCTGAAGTCTCTCAGCCCCACTCACCTCACAGAGTGTTTGTTGTGAGGAAGGAAGGGAAAGGAAATTGTTAGCCACTTTGAGACTCCTTCGGGTAGTGATGAAGCGGGATATCAAATCCAAACTCCTCTTCTACTCTTCTTCTTCCTGGGCACGCTGCCCCAGGTACCCGAGCAACTTCCTCCGCCGCTGTCCCGGGGCAGACCGTTCCACTGTCAAACAGCTCTGACTGTCCTAAAGTTCTTCCTGATGTTAAATCAGCATTTCCTTCCTTGTAGCTGGAAGCCATTGGTTTGAGGCCTACCCTCCAGAGAAGGAGAAAACAAGCTTGCTCCATCCTCCATGTGATACCCCTTGAGATATTTGAAGGTGTCTATTGTATCTTCTCTCAGTCTTCTCTTTTCCAGGTTAAATATACCCAACTCCTACCATGGGAACTGTAGTTCGCCAAACATTATTAAATGGTCTTGTGCAGGGGTCAGCTAACTTTTTCAGCAGGGGGCCAGTCCACTGTCCCTCAAACCTTGTGGGGAGCCGGACTATATTTTGGAAAAATAATAATGAACAAATTCCTCTGCCCCACAAATAACCCAGAGATGCATTTTAAATAAGAGCACACATTCTACTCATGTAAAAACATGCCGATTCCCGGACCGTCCACAGGCCGGATTGAGAAGGCGATTGGGCCGCATCCGGCCCCCGGGCCTTAGTTTGCCTACCCATGGTCTTGTCATTTGAGGTCGCCCATCTGCTTTGCACCTCTGCCGTTCCTGTGGCTCATAGGAGGAAAGCCTGGGAAGTTCTAATAAATATAAGTCCAGCGTTATGTGGTTTCAATTCCCTGTGGGTCTGATGGTGCAGATTAGGGCAAAAGATGTAGAGAAAAGGATTTGGACGACTTGCTTTAAGCTACACCTGTCCCAGTCTCCTGCCCAAGAATGATGGCAAGTGCCCTTTCTTGCATGTCAAGTAAAGATAAAGGTGAAGGGACCCCTGACCATTAGGTCCAGTCGTGGCCAACTCTGGGGTTGCGGCGCTCATCTCGCTTTCTTGGCCGAGGGAGCTGGCGTACAGGTTCCGGGTCATGTGGCCAGCATGACTAAGCCGCTTCTGGCAAACCAGAGCAGCGCACGGAAACGCCATTTACCTTCCCGCTGGAGCAGTACCTATTTATCTACTTGCACTTTGACGTGCTTTCGAACTGCTAGGTTGGCAAGAGCAGGGACCGAGCAACGGGAGCTCACCCCGTCGCGGGGATTCAAACTGCCAACCTTCTGATCGGCAAGTCTTAGACTCTGTGGTCGCCACCCACGTCCCATGTCAAGCTACTTTATTCCAGTGCAGGCTCAGCAACGAGTGAAGAGCAGGAAAAAGCCTAGAGATGCAGCAAGGATCAAAGCATGAGGAAAGGAACTTCAAGGTTCAGGGACAAGGCCAGGGATACAGATCAGAGGTTGGGAGCTGAGACTGCACAGGAGTTGCTCCAACTGTGAAGTTGTTCCAAGAATCAGCCCTCCCTGCCCATCATGCTTTTAAACAGAGATTGTCTGGCTACTCAAATGCAAGCATGCCCTAGAGACACCCCCTGACCTTAACTTGTGCATGTTGAATAAAGAGGTTTTGAGGAGAGAGTTTTACTGTCTCATAGCATAGTTAGCACAATGGTGATTGCTACCAAGCACATTGAAACTTGGTAGGCTTCACATCTGCCCTCACCCACCTTTAAACAAGCATTTCCCACGAAACTACTTAGGCTAGAATAAATCACAGACACCTAGCTTTGCAAATAAGCGAATATTTTACTCGCAGAGTTTCCAGCAACTGAGTCTCCATCCAGTAATATAAAGAAGAAAAAGGTTCCCAAAGGTTCGTGCTCCTTCTTGGGGGCTGGGTTTACTCCTGACTTTTGATGCGCTGCTGTTGTCTCAGAGACAAGGTCTGACGCTGCTCCCCCGCGGGCAGCTCAGTCTGTGCCACCTCCTCTCCTCAGGTGGAAAAATGGCCTCCCCAGGCATATGAAGGCCCCACCTCCTCACCCTGAGCCAAGTAATGGGGCAGCTGCGAGACTTCCCGAGCAAGAGTCTCAACAGAGGGTACTGGCTCTGAGTTGGGGAGCTTGAGCCGGAGGGCCCTGCTCCATGGCCTCTTCATCCACCATTGTCGTCCTCTGTTGTACACAGATTCATGGAAGATAAAGCTGTCACGGCCTACTAAACCTGAGGGCTATGTTCAGCTTCCACCAGAGGCTCCAGGTTGCGAGGGAGTTTGCGGGGGTGTGTGTGACACTGCATGTGAAGTCAGGTGTGCAACGTCAGGACATTGGGAGGAGCCAGGGAGCGGAGCCAAGCCCAGCTGTGGCATAGCTGTCAACCGTCCCTTATTTGGCGGGAAAGTCCCTTATCCCAGCGCTGTGTCCCGCTGCTGTCCCTTATTGATGATGTCCCTTAAATTTCCCGGGTTTCAAAGGAAGCAGCTCCTCTCCCTCCCTCCCTGCCGGCCAGGGAGCAGGGAGGCTCCAACTGTGTTGCTTGGCTGCGTTGCTCACCCAATAAGGAGTCTAAGAACAACTGGGGGGTGGAGCTTGCATGCCTTGTACCGATCAAATCGGCCACATTGCCTGGGGACTTGCCTTTGCCCAGCGCTTCCCAGCGGAGAGGTGACGGTGGTTTTCCTTGCTGCATCCCCTTTGCCGGGTTGCTACGCTGTGGGAACCACCACTTGAGGCTTCGTTTGGCTGCTGGCTGGGCTTTCTGCCTTTGGCTCGGAGGGGCTCAGAAGTTGAACATACCTGTGCTTGGAAAATCCCTTATTTTGGCTGCTGATCCCTTATTTTCGAGGCTGCTGGTCCCTTATTTTCAAATCTGTAAGTTGACAGCTATGCTGCAGCAGTGGCACAGCTTCAATGGCTGCAGGCTCCTCCTCCTGCCACTTCCACCTGCCACTCAGCGCTCGGCTTCGCAATTGGCCTCCTCCGCCCCCTGATTTTTTTGACATTGGGGGGCCTCAGCCCCCTCCCAAATATATTGGGGAACCCCAGTTGGGCTCGGCCCCTAGCAGTTGGCGTCGTGGCCTCCAAGGCAGTATGCTTCTGTATACCAGTTGTTGGAAAAAGCAGAAGGGGAGAGGGCTCTTGTGTTCGAATCCTGATTGTGGGCTTCCCACGGCCATATATGGTTGGCCACTGAGGGGATAGGATGCTGGACTAGGTGGGCCACTGGCCTGATCCAGCAGGGGTCTCCTTACATTTTTCTAGAGGATATGAGCAGAACAGCCCCTTTGCAGCAGAAGTAACAGGAGATAATATTAGCTTTCTCGCCGGGAGATGCTAATTTGACAACCGCAGCGTGAACGAAACCCACCAGCTTTTGGCGCTCTCCTTATCAAGCAGTTTTGGGAATCCCCAGGAGGACATTCTCCTCTCTAAAACTCCCGCTGAAAAGTGTGTTCGGAATATATCGAAAGCATTTCAGGAAAGGAGCTAAAGCAGCCTTTTCAGGAAAGCTCCCAAAGGAATGGGTTTTAAAGCAAGAATGAGGAACCTGGAGCCCTGCAAGACGCTGAACCCCATAAGCCCATAACAGCCAACCGTTCTCTGATGATAATAGGGACATCCTATTCCATAATACTAATTTTATTATTTATACCTCACCCATATGACAGGGTTGCCCCAGCCACTCTGGGCGGCTTCCAACTTAAAACATTTTTTAAAAAAGCTTCCCTAATACAGGGCTGCCTTCAGATATATTCTAAAAGTTGTATAGTTACTTAACTCCTTGGCTTGGGGGTCACATAACTCCATACCTTCCAACATTTATCTGATGAAAATAGGGGTGTCCTAAGGAAAAGCAGGACATTCTGTGATAATAATAGTAACAATAACAATAATAATAATAATAGTTTATTACCGTATTTTTCGCTCTATAACACGCACCCGACCATAACACGCACGTAGTTTTTAGAGGAGGAAAATCCGTAGGCATGCCACCCGTAGGCATTCCCTCCATAACACGCACAGACATTTCCCCTTACTTTCTAGGAGGAAAAAAGTGAGTGTTATGGTGCAAAAAATACGGTACTTATACCCCGCCCATCTGGCTGAGTTTCCCCAGCCACTCTGGGCGGCTCCCAATCGAGTGTTAAAAACAAGACAGCATTAAATATTAAAAACTTCCCTAAACAGGACTGCCTTCAGATGTCTTTTAAAGATAGGATAGCTGCTTATTTCCTTCATATCTGAAGGGAGGTTTGTTCCACAGGGTGGGTGCCACTACCTAGAAGGCCCTCTGTCTGGTTCCCTGTAACCTCACTTCTCGCAATGAGGGAACTGCCAGAAGGCCCTCGACGCTGGATCTCAGTGTCCGGGCTGAATGATGGGGGTGGAGACGCTCCTTCAGGTATACAGGATCAAATCAGAAACTGGGCTTCTGTAAATCCAGGACTGTCCCTGGAAAATAGGGACACTTGGAGGGTTTTCAAGCCCTAGTCAGGATTGCCAGTGGCCAGGGAGGAGGATGGGGGATTGTGGTCCAGCAGCAGCTCTGGGGTTGAAGGTGCCCCATCCACGGCGGCGGAGGAAGCTGCGAGGGCACTGGGGCGGCTGCCCAGGGGCGAGGCGAGCTGCCCATGGTGGGGGCTCACTGTGGGGCCTCCGCAGTCTGCCCGCCTCCTCCCACTCAGCCACCCTACAGCTGGGGGGGAGGTAGGCAGACCGTTTGGGCCTGCAGGTGCCCAAGCCGTGTCACTCCCAGGAGAGATGCGTGGTACGGGTGCGTTGCAGGCCCACGGTGAGTGCCGCCTGGCATTTTGTCACCCCCCTCAGTGGTGACACCCGGGGCAGACAGCCTCCCCACCGCACCCCCCTTCCTCCACCCCTGTTTTAAGAAACAGCAGTGTAGACCTTTCTCAAAGTGATGTCTTTCCTAACACGGGATCTTTGGGTTTTGCAGGCACAGAAAACGAGAGTTACGTCCGGCATGAAGGAGAAGTCCAAGGGGAGCTTCCTGTGCCATAGAGCTGCCTCCTGCCCTTCGCAAACACGCTCTCATCAGGGAAGGAGAGTCATGAACGGTTATCAACACAACCTCCATCTGGTGAGGGGTGGGGGGAGCTTTTGGGACTGACTTTGGAGCGTGACATTCAAAGTGGGCTGCAAATCACATGGCCACCCGCCATCACCGTCTCCGAAGCTGCCAAGGAATCTGGTGGCTCCGGGAGCCAGGAACATAGCTGAGCTGTTCAAGTGACAACTTCCTCCAGAAAACATAACCAGTGGAAGTAAGACGTGCCAGCCTCCCATCTAAATTTACTTGGTATATGGCAGCTCTTTCTTGGGGGTGGGGGTGGGTTGTGTTTCAGGAGCCAAGCGCATGCATTGCACAGAGAAGTTTCCAGGGTGAGTTGAACAGAGCTTGGGTACAAAGCCTGGGACAGCCATTTGCCCAACACCTTGGAGAGGTTCACGTCCGTTAGCAAAGAACAATAAGGATCCCTTCTGATCACTTACAGGAGAATTAATCCTTAACTTGAGAAGCATAGAAAGTGCCAAGCTAGACGAATCCTCAGTCCAACTTGTTGGTTTTCCCTTGGACTCCTCACGTTCCATCGCTGCCCAAATTTGACACTGCGTCTCGGCTGCATTTACAACGTGACAAAACTATGACCTTTCCTCACTGCTCCTTTGGCAAAAACTCTTCTGTGTGCTCTGGTCCTATCTTGTATGGACTAGGGATGAATTGTGTCAGTTTTGGTTTCTTGTTTTTTCACCCTTAAGTCCAGTTCCTCACATTTCTGCATTGGTTTTTTTATTATTATTATTTTAAAAAGTCCCCGTGAATTTTTTCCAGCATGACAGTTTGCATTTCTCTCAATACGTTCCTGCATGCAGTTCTAACTGATCTAAACATTTTTTCAAGCAAGTTCCCCTAATTTAACACAGTTTTCCATGTTAATTTCATGAATCTATTCCAGGCATAGGCAAACTCGGCCCTCCAGATATTTTTGGGACTACAATTCCCATCATCCCTAACCACTGGTCCTGTTAGCTAGGGATGATGGGAGTTGTAGTCCCAAAACATCTGGAGGGCCGAGTTTACCTATGCCTGATCTACAGTGGTACCTCTACTTACAGACTCGATCCATTCCGGGGTGCCGTTCACACCCCAAAAAGTCCATAAGTAGAGCGCCGCTTCTGCGCGTGACGTGATAGATCGCTCCTGCGCATGCGCGAAGCAGCGAACCCAGAAGTAAACACTTCTGGGTTTGTCGCAATCATAACCAGAAAAAATGCAACGTGAAGCAAATGCACATTCCGGAGGCCCGTTCACAACGTGAAAAGCCCGCAACCTGAAGCACCGTATCTGCGCAGGTGCGCGGCGCAATTTGGCTCTTGTGCGCATGCATGAAGTGCAATTTACTGCGCATACTGCGCATGTGCGAGCGACGAAACCCAGAAGTAGCCCTTTCTGGTACTTCCAGGTCGCTACAGGATGCTACCTGAAGAAACGTAATATGAAGCAAATGTAACATGAGATATGACTGTAGTTCAATAAAGGGACTTGCTGTTATCTCTGTGTCTTGCCTCGTAGGAACCCACCTTGTTCTTTAGGAATAAGGAAGCTGCCTTACACTGAGTAAGACCATTGGTTCATCCTGTCCTGAATCCTAGGGCTCAGGAGTGAAGCGGTTGTCCCACGAAGACCCTCTTTGTGAAAGAAGACTGGCTGTTTCCCCATGTTACCTTCTGCATTGCACTTATGCACAACATAAGGAAGGGACGCAGCTTTAGATATCCGGCAGCACCTCCTCCTGAGAGCTCTTTTTAGCTGAGCACAATGGGATCCTCAGCCCACCCACCCACCTCATTTTTGCCTTTAATCTGCTTGCTTGTCTCTGCCCAAATCGCTACCCCTGACCTAGAGTGACCCTGGCAGATACAGGTACAGTACAATCCTCCTGTTTGGAAGGCGGACAGGAGATCAGTCGGTCAAGAGGAAATCCTCCAGATTGGTGCGTGTTGCACTAAGCTGTGACACAAAAGTGCAGAGGGGCAGCTGTTTCGTGAGATATCTGCAAACGGGCCTGGCTGTCTCCTTCCCCCTCCAAACTGTATTCTCCTCTCTCTTTTTTGGTGTTGGTAAATTACAGCAAGGTGCGTGCAAGGTGCCTGGAAATTAATCTGCAGCTGCAGACACACCAATAATTTAACACAGTTGTCTCCTCCAAATCTGGGAACTGTTTACCTCTCACAGAAGTACAATTCCCAGCGCCCTGAATGAACTACAGTTCCCAGGGATCCTTTGCAAGCTGGGAGGAGATGTGCTTTAAATGTGCCCTAAAGGGCCAAAAGTTCCCCACATCTGGTTTAAACTGTCAGGCAGCTAGCCCAACTAAAGTGAGTATTATTCTTATTCTTATTCCCCTGCCCATTTTTTGGATCCTAGATTAACAAGAGCGGAAAAGTTGCCGTGGATTAACATATAAATATGGTACTTTTCTTCTGCCTTTTCTCTACTCTAATTCTGTAAGGAACTAGCTGGGTCAGATCCGAATAAGGTAACATTACGTTTATATCCCACCTTTCCTCAGAAGAGCTGTCCACCCTCCTGCAACAACAACAACAACAACAACAATTTATTACTTATATCCTGCCCATCTGACCAGGCCTCCCCAGCCACTCTGGGCGCCTCCCAACAGAATATTAAAAACATGATAAAACATTAAACGTTAAAAACTTCCCTAAACAGGGCTCCCTTCAGATGTCTTTTAAAAGACAGATAGTTGTTTATTTCCTTGACATATGATGGGAGGGCATTCCACAGGGTGGGAGCCACTACCAAGAAGGCCCTCTGCCTGGTTCCCTGCAACCTCACTTCTCGCAGTGAGGGAACCGCCAGAAGTCCCTTGGAGCTGGTCCTCAGTGTTCGGGCTGAACGATGGGGATGGAGACACTCCTTCAGGTATACTGGGCCGAGGCAACTCTTGTACTCACAACATGTCCCCGTCTTGCTGTGCCTCTCGCTGGGCCGAGGCAGAGAAGGGCCACCGGGACAGCAGTGGGAAACAGCTGAGCTTGCAACCGCATTTGGGTCAAAAGCCCGTTGCCTTCTGTGCCTGCAAAGGATAAAGTCGGGCAGGAGCTTTCCCAGAAGAGTGCCGTTCCTCTGCGTTGTTTGTGGAGACCTGATTAAGAAGCTCGTTGAGGGTCTCCACTGAATTAGGTACTGCGGCACGGCTAATTAAAGGAGCTCCCTGCGGGGTCGCTTAATAGCTGCGCCAGAACAGGTGAAGATTTCAATTATCTTGCCATTCCTTCTTCCCAAATAGCTCAGCCACGGCCCTTAAATGCTTGCAGACAGTGTCTGCCGAATGAAGCGGCTCCTTTCTGGAAGGGGCGAGGCAGCTCCCCTGAACCAGCCGCGTTCAAGAGAGTCACATTTAGCAATATGGCGCCCATCCCAGGATAAACATGCTCTACATAGGAGTACAGAGGGACGCGGGGGGCGCTGTGGGTTAAACCACAGAGCCTAGGACTTGCCGATCAGAAGGTCGGCGGTTCGAATCCCTGTGACGGAGTGAGCTCCCGTTGCTTGGTCCCTGCTCCTGCCAACCTAGCAGTTCGAAAGCATGTCAAAAGTGCAAGTAGATAAATAGGTACCGCTCCGGCGGGAAGGTAAACGGTGTTTCCGTGTGCTGCTCTGGTTCTCCAGAAGTGGCTTAGTCATGCTGGTCACATGACCGGCTCCCTCGGCCAATAAAGCGAGATGAGCGCCGCAACCCCAGAGTCGTCCGTGACTGGACCTAATGGTCAGGGGTCCCTTTACCTTTTACATAGGAGTGCAGGAAGCTGCCTCATCCCAGCTCAGACCTTTGGTCCATCTGGCTCTGTACTGTCTACACTGACTAGGGTTTCAGGCAGGAAATCTTTCTCAGTCCTACCTGGAGACGCCGGGATTTGAACCTGGGAACCTCCTGCTTGCAAGGCAGATGCTCTGTCATCTTTCCCATATGGGTTCCCTTCCTTTGGGTTATTGGGAGGCTCTCATTTAGTCAGTCAGATTAATCAGCTAAAAGGCTTTTTGATCAGTAGAAGAAGAAGAGAAGAGTTTGGATTTGATATCCTGCTTTATCACTACCCGAAGGAGTCTCAAAGCGGCTAACATTCTCCTTTCCCTTCCTTCCCCACAACAAACACTCTGAGGTGAGTGAGGCTGAGAGACTTCAAGAAGTGTGACTGGCCCAAGGTCACCCAGCAGCTGCATGTGGAGGAGCGGGGAAGCGAACCCGGTTCACCAGATTACGAGTCTATCGCTCTTAACCACCACACCACACTGGCTCTCCAGGAAACCAGGAAGCAGTTGTTCCTTAAATTAGAAGCATACCCTTTTCCTGAGACTCCCCATCACCTAATATCTTGAGAGAAAGCATTTCTCCGGGTACCTTGTAGGAGAGCCTTTTCAGTGGTGGCTCCTAAATTCTGAAACTGGAACTCCCTACCCAGAACCAAAACCATCCTTCTGAAAGGGGAAGCTGTGGCCCTCCAGACATTGTTATACTGACATACCGGTATATGTTTTTAAAAATCATGTGTTGAGAGATACTATTTAAATATGCTGATGCCAAAAATGGGATGGACTTAGGAGTGAAGTACATGTGAAATTGGTTTGGGCTGGTGTTATGTACTGAGTTGAATAGGATCCAAAATGCAGCAGTCTGATTGGCCCTAGAACAATAGGATTCAGAATGCAGCAGTCTGATTGGTCCTAGAACAATAGGATTCAGAATGCAGCAGTCTGATTGGTCCTAGAACAATAGGATCCAGAATGCAGCAGTCTGATTGGTCCTAGAACAATAGGATCCAGAATGCAGCAGTCTGATTGGTCCTAGAACAATAGGATTCAGAATGCAGCAGTCTGATTGGTCCGCAGGAGCCACCCAATCCAGCTCCAGGTGGAAGTGAACCCGCGACCTGATTGGCCTACAGGAGAATCCCGGAATTAGCCAATCGCATGGGGC